AAATTTGAGGCCTCAGAAAATTTATTAAATTCAATAGATAATATTTTCATGCAATTTTTAAAATTTCAAAATTAATGGAAAAATCTGCAATGTACAAAATATTGAAATTTTACATAGAGGCAGTATCACCATTACTTGGTTTTCTGTTGTCTCTGGATCCAACAAATCTTGACATGGTGTTCGTAGGAAGATGAAGCTTGAATACACTCAGTGTAAACTTAGGGCCCAATTTGGAGATATTAATTGCTGTTGTTCTCAGGATATGAAAGATCAACAGGAGTTAAACAAAACTTAAAGAACATAAGGCTGATGGTCAAAGTAATAGGGCATAGAATTGATTCTTCAGGAGGAAAGCAGAGAAAATAGCTAATTTGATTATCATCGTAGAGTTTCATTATAAACTTTAGTATGTATAAAATTTGGCTCCAAAAAGCAGAGGACATATAAAAATCCTGTGTAACTTTAAACTTTTCTTGGTCTCTCTTGGCATTTTTTTTTTATCAGTGCCAAAAATCCAATTACTGGCCACAGGTGACCTAGAGCCATTTCCACTGCATGCCGTGATACAATTTCCTATAAGAAATATAAGATATAATTAAGAGTGACCTGAACACTGGGAAACATTTCTTATCTCATGTAACAGAAGTGCTGAAGGTATGGTGATTCCAAGTCTGGATAATTCAGTGCCTCAGCATGTCATCACAGAGTTGATTCTTTTCATTTTTAACCTTTGCCTTCCTCAATGAGTCAGCTACACTCCTCATGGTTACAAGATGACTGCTGCAGCTCCAAGATTTATCATCCCATGGAACAAGGTCTGTCTTCCTGATTTTAAGAGCAAGAAATTTACTTCTAGAATCTGCCCACCCAAAATCTTACTCTGAAACAAAGTTCGAATTCACGTTTTATTGTTTGATTGATAGCATATAACAGAATAGTTGAGTCTTACTTTAAGAGTACAAATCAGGCTCCTTCACTTGCTAGGTATGTAAACATGGGTATCTGTTCTTTGTGTTTCAGTTTCCCTATATTTATCAAAGGAATAAAATAATATACCCACTTCATTAGGTTATTGAAAGAAAAAGTGAGTTACTGTATGCAAAATTCTTAGAATGATGTGTGGTTACTATTATTTTATGATAATTCTCACTGTGGCAATGTAATTAGCTCATGGAAATGTAAGAGGTGGGAAAGTTTGATTATCTCAGCATCTCTTAGAGAAGAAGACATCAACTAAAGTTTTAGGTATATTGTGTAATATTTTCCCCCTTGATATTGTTTGGATATGATGTCTCAAAGAAGGAATAAGAATCTATTTCCAGACTACTATCTTATTTAAATGTGTGTGTGTGTGTCTCTCTCTCTGTGCATTTAGAATTTTAACATTGTCCATGTGACTCATTAGAAGTTAGTCTCAAGCCAGCAATATTAACATCCTGAAAATAGTCTTATATGACTAAATTAGAGCCAGGTGCTC